CCTGAATGGTGGTTTATTGGAAAGATCAGAGTCACTAATCTCTCACACCTTGAGCAGGTCAAGTGGGGGCATCTCAGGAGTCCATCAAAGCTACACAGGGGTTTGATCAAAGAAATACAGAGCATGCCTGCTCTCTATGGAAAGAAAACAAATTACTTGAAACTAACCCAAGGATGGGAGATAATGGCTGAAACGGTCCCTGGGGTGAGAGGCAACAAAGGAACTTTTGGAAACTTCACAGTGTCGGGAAAGTCAGTTCTTAGATGAGTGGAATTGATTAAATTGATTGATATAAAGAGATATACTGTAACTTTGTTATCTTATTAAAACAATTCTATAGATCAGGAGTCCCCAACCTTTCGGATCTCAGGGACCACTAAATTCATAGTTTTAAATCCGGCGGACCACTCATATGATCTGCCTAATGACTGGCTGGGTGGGCATGGGTAGGTGGTCATGTGACTGGGTGGGCATGGCCAACTCAATGTCACTCACGTCGAGGGGCCACCTTGCCAGCCTGTACTCGCCATTCCTCGCCTGCTCCTTAGGACCCCAACAGGAAGCAGTTGTTGGAGCTAAGCAGCCACCATGAGAAAGAGTTGGCAAAACAGCTCACTTCAAATTGGATCTGACTGAGAAGGAGGCTCAGCAGAAGCACCTCACTGAGGACTAGGAGCATAGGCTTTCCAAGCAGAGGGAAGACCTGCGGGAGTGCAAGGCCAGGTACTGGCACCTGGAGGCTCAGAGGGTTGAGATGGTCAGCCAGTTCCAGGCCATGATGCAGTCCCACTGGAACGAGGCCCTCCAGCTCTTCGCCATCAGCGGCGCTTCCCTCCGGCCTTCGTCCAAAGCCCCACACCAGGAGGCTGAAGCAGATCCCGAGTCAGAATTTCTGTCCCCCTCTGACCCACAAAAAAAGACCCCGAAGGGGGACACTCTCTGCAGCAACACAAAAGTTCATTGCATGTATCTGTCCCGTAGTTTGAGGACCCCTGATTTAGTGCAATATAATAGATTAAGATAAGAAAGAGAAAATGTATAAATATAAATATAGATTACTGATGCGAAAATGTGGAAAAGAAGATGTAAAGATGGACTTTTGTTTGTTTGTTTGTGTGTTTTGTTGCTGTTTGTTTGTTTGTTTGTATTGAAAAAATAAAAGTATTAAAAAATAAAATAAAAAATGCAAATAATTTTTCTGCGGGCCACCAAAATTTTCTTGCGGACCACCAGTTGGTGACTGCTGCTATAGATTAAAACAGTGGAAAATGTGTTTCTTTAGTAGCCCAATAGATGTTCTGAGGGTCCCTCCACAACCAGGAGGACTGGGTCTCCCTCAATAGGGCTACTGGACGGCTATCAGCAGATGGAAGTTATACTAAAATTGGAGCGGGAGGAGAAAGATTCTTTCAGTGCTGGAGAGCGAATGGAAAGTGTCCTTATGCCCTTTGCTTCAAGCACTTTGTGTCTTGGGCCACCTTCTCTTTCCCCCCAGCAAGCGAGGCTCCTGAACAGCAATGAAAGTGGCAACAGATGGAGAGAAACTGCAGGCGTTCATCTCCGGAGCTTCTGAGAACAACAACTGAACAGCTTCTTGGAAGATGCCTGGAGGAGCTATCCAGATCTTGGGCGGACTTTGCCAGAGGGCTGAAGAAAACCACCACTTCTGGGTCTCTGTCCCCTCCCCTCCTGCACTCATAAGCAGGACAGAAAAACCCATTAACGCATTGTAAGCCGCCCTGAGTCTCCGGAGAAGGGCGGCATATAAATCAAATTAAAAAAAAAAAATTGGAGGGGTGGCCCTATGGACCCTCTTGGCCAGGCTCTCTTTCTACTTTCCAAGCTCCACGTGGAATTGCACTCAGGACCCCATTGGAGGCCATGCAACCCCCTCCCCAATGTAGGAATTCATGTTTTTGCACCATCTCATACCAGTCCGTGTGTGAGATGCTTTTTTTTTCTGTACAGGTGTAATTTCTCCACAGTCTTCCAGGGGAGCCCAAGGGAGATCCCATGGCAGTAAGCCTTGGTAGTACAGTGGTTTAATGCACCCTGTTATTAACACAGCTGCCTGCAATTTCTGCAGGTTCGAATCTCGCCAAGGCTCAAGGTTGACTCAGCCTTCCATCCTTTCTAAGGTAGGTGAAATGAGGACCCAGATTGTGGGGGCAATAAGCTGACTTTGTATAAAATATACAAAAGTATGAAGGCTGTTGCTTAACGCATTGTAAGCCGCCCTGAGTCTCCGGAGAAGGGCGGCATATAAATCAAATTAAAAAAAAAAAAAGTAATCTAACCAGGTTGGGGGGGGAATCACAAGGATGTGGAGAATGGAGCTGGGGTTTTCCTTCAAAAAAATGGGGGGGGGGCACATGGTGCAGCAGCCAAATCTGGGCAAAAACATCCCTGGCCAGGATTTTAACCAGGAGGACTTCTCAAAGTCTGGATGGCCCTGACAGTGGGAGGGGGCAGATTTCAATGGAGAGAAGAATCTATGCCCCTTCCCCAATTGGCCTCCTTACCTGGGGGGAGCAGACGACCTGCCTCAGTCGTCTCCTCCTCCTCCTCCTCCTTTCACATAGAAAAGATCCACACCAGTAGAGGCGGAGTTTGCTACTCTTCCTGGCACTAGTTGGCGGTGCTTTCAGTCTCTGGGTGCCAACTGGAGTCTTCGGTCGCAGGTGCGGAGGGGCGCGTGGTCGGAGGGCGATGCCTCTGCCCCGGGCGCCCCTCTTGCTCCTGTGGGCTGGGCTGGGGTCCTTCGTGCCGAGGAGCCGCTGCGGTGAGTTTCTGGAAGGGGTTGCAACCGGTGGGAGGCAGCGAAAAGAGGGGGGGGACGACGCGTGTCCTGCCTGGGTCTCTTCCCCACATTTCACCCTCCATGGCAAGTTCCCTTCCCCGCAGGAAACGTCCCCCCTTCCCTCGTCCTTCGCTCAGCCTCGTTCAAGAACTTTTGGTATTCAAATTGTAATTCCTCTTTGTATTTGAAGAAGGAAGTAAAAAGTGACCGGCGAACATTCAGATTCAAAGTCTCCCCAGCAGCATCTCCTTCGGTTAAATTTGCCTTCCTCTGTTTGTTTGTTTTTTAATTTTTATTTCCTGTTATCAACTTATGAGCGGGGGACATACCCACAATCAGGGCTGGATTTTCCTATAGGCTAACTAGGCTTCAGCCTAGGGCCTCAAGATCAAGAGGGGCCTACATTCAAATTGTTAGCAAAATTAAAATTACACTTTCACTATAGGTGAAAGGGCCTCATAAGTGGAATAGCCTAGGGCCTCTTTTCATCTAAATCCGGCCCTGCCCACAATACAGGGAAGGCTTGAATAATTCGTGGCTCCCTTGCGACAATAACATTTGGAGTTTAATTTTTTTCTCAATGCTAAGTAAATTTCTAAGCAAGGAGTGAAAGTCACGAGAGAAAGTTTACCAGTCAGGTCGACTCCTCCTCCTCCCTCCTCCTCCTCCCTATCCCCACCTCCAGTCGGGCAAAGGCTGAGCCTCCAATCAACTCCTCCTTGAAGAGAAAAATCTCGATATGAAGGGACTTTCTAGGTCTGGTAGTCCGAAGTCTCCATACTCCATACTCTGCTGTGAAGCTCCAAGCAGCTTCTATCGGGTTGGTCCTTCAGGCAATGGGCGTATAGGGTCCAATGGGGTCAGATCCACAAGCAGCTGGGTGAATCCAGAGGGACCCCTCACCAGATGTGCCCAGCTGTTTCCAAAGTCAGCCAAGAGTTGCTTGAGAACTTCTTTCAGGGTTAATCTCATGATTGGAATCCTCCGAAGTACAGCAGATGGTTGGTCTCCTGTTTGAAAGCTGCTTTTCATCATCATAATCATCCTAAGTTTTATTTGTCAATCATATATATAAGATAACAGGTAAAAGTATAGACATAATTTGAATACATGGAAAGAGTAAGTAAAAAGGGATATTAGGACAGGGATGGTAGGCACGCTGGTGTGCTTATGCACACCCCTTATAGACCTCTTAGGAATGGGGTGAGATCAACAGTAGACAGTCTAAGGTTAAAGGTTTGGGGGTTTGGGGAAGAAACTACAGAGTCAGGTAGTGCATTCCAAGCATTGACCACTCTGTTACTGAAGTCATGTTTTCTGCAATCGAGTTTGGAACAGTTTACCTTGAGTTTGTACCTATTATTTGCTCGTGTATTGTTGTGGTTGAAGCTGATATTATTTCATGATAGCATCGAGGGAGGAGCTGGAGCTGCAGACCCCCCCTCAATCCTATCCTTCACTCTCTTCCCCTTCCAGGCTCCTCCAGGCACTCCCTGTGCTATTCCAACCTGAAGGTGTCAGAGCCCAGCCAGGGGCTGCCCCAGTTCTTCTCCATGGTCCACCTGGATGGTCAGCCCATTGCTCGATATGACATCCTAGACAGGAAGATGGTTCCTCTGGTGCCCTGGATGGAGGCGGCGGAGGTGAAGACGCCTGAGAGGATGTTCAGAGGTGACTTGGAGTGGTTATCAAAACTCAACCCCCCAGACTGGAGGTGAGCAGAGGCAGAACTGCCTTCAAGCCCTGAATTCCCCCTCAAATCTCACTTTCCCACATCTTCTCACTTGGGTTATTGGGAAAAGAGGCAAGCAGGCAAAGAATAGAAAGTGGGAGGCTGGGATCTTGGGTGGGTTGAGATGAGCCCCATCCCAGGAAAGGACAATATTGTTTCTGCCTTTGACCGCCAATGGCTGTAAGGAGCAGGAGGATGGGAGATCCTTTCCTGCAAAGGAAACCGCCTCCCCTCCCCAAGATCTTCTCTCTCTCATAATCTTCATGATCTTCTAGCTCCATATCAAAAGGACTAAGTGTAGCCCCAGATCACAGAAAAGACCTCCCGCCATTGAAAGAAAGAGGGGAGGCAAGATCCGTTTTCCCTCCCCTGGTGGGATGAGGGGGAGGCGAAGTAAATTCTTTGGGGGGGGGTGTCTCTAGGGAGAGGAACTCAGGACTATTCTCACTTCCTCTTTCTGTGTTTCAGGGCTTCACACCTGGCAGGTGATTTTGGGCTGTGAGCTCAGGGAAGACGGGAGCAAAGGAGGGTTTTTGCATTATGGCTACGATGGGATGGACTTCATCAGCTTCGATAAGGAGACCCACAGATGGGTGGCAGCTCAGCCCCAGGCCCAGAAGGTCAAGGAGAAGTGGGAGGAAGATCCAGGGTGGTCCCAGGGAAATAAAGACTTCCTGGAGGAGACCTGCATTGAGTGGCTACAGACATACCTGTCCTATCAGAAGGAGGCTCTGAAGAAGACAGGTGAGTGGCCAAATGAGCTCTGGTTGTGCAATTTTTTTCCTAGGCATCCTCATCTTCCCCTTCTCATGTTTTCTGCCCTGCACAACCAAGCCACCCTTCACGTGCCTGGCAGAGAGAGATCTGGGAATTTACCAAAACGAAGTAGGGACATTTACAGTGGGGAAAACAATCTCCAAGCCCTCCCCACCATCCAAAAAAAAAAAAAAAATCTTCAAAGGAAAAGAAAAGGAAACCAAAGGAGCCAGATATCAATGCTGAGATCCAGTTCCATTTTTATGAGGAAATCTAATTTTTGCAGTCTGCATTTGGGGCAGACCCAAAAGCTGATTCTCTTTCTGATTTCCATCTGGAACAACTTAAACAAAATCAATTTTAAGATGTCAAAACGGAATCAAAGCCCAAGCATTGGAATTATTTTGATCAGAGTGGGAATGTTACCCCAAGGTCTATGAATTTCCTTCAAAAATAAGTCTAAAGAGTTCAATTCCCCCATTTTTGAAGTTCCCAGAGGAGGAGACGGAGCAGAGGGAAATAAGACCTTCCCTGTGAATTAAATCATCTTGACATAAAGTCTAGAAAACCCTGTAAACTTTGATGTTGCTGTTTCTGCAGAGCCCCCACTGGGGAAGGTGACCTACAAGATGATTAATGACAGCCTGGAGACCCTCATCTGCCAGGCCTTTGGCTTCCACCCCAAGGAGATCCAGGCCACCTGGAGGACGAAAAGAAAGGTGGTCAAGTATGAGACCCTCCATAAGAACGTGGCCCCCAACTCAGACGGGACCTACTATGTCTGGCTCAGCATTGAGATCGACCCCAAGGAGAGGAACCATTTTCAATGTCACCTGGAGCACGAGGGCTTGCAGGAACCCCTGGTTTTGGCCTGGAAGGAGGAAACAGGTGAGAAGCCGAGTGGTTATATGACATGTCACCTCTTGGTGAGATGGGCAGCATGCAAATTTAATTAAATAAATGGAAATCAATGCATAAGTAGATAGTTCACAAATGTTGAATATTTTTTCTGTTACGTCACCTAAAGTTTTCAGATAGAGAACAGGAAATTCAGTCCTCCATTTAGGGATGGTAAAAAGTCATTTTTGACAATGGAGTTGGAAGTGGAAACCTAAGGCATGAAAATATGATATGATACAATACCGTATAATATGATGCAAAATGATACAATGCCATATCAGTAAGGCATTTGATAAAGTAGACCACCATCTACTATTTCATATAATAGAAAAATGTGGGTTAGACAGTATCACCACCAGGTGAATTTGTAACTGGCTGACAAACCACACTCAACATGTAGTCCTCAATGGAACTGCATCTACATGGAGGGAAGTATGCAGTGGGGTACCCCAAGGCTCTGTTTTAGGCCCAGTGCTCTTCAACAACTTCATCAATGATTTGGACGAGGGGATAGATGGGGAACTCATCAAATTTGCAGATAACACCAAGCTGGCAGGAATAGCCAACACTCCAGAAGATAGGCTCAAGATATAGAAGGATCTTGACAGATATTGGGCACTATCTAACAAAATGAAATTCAGTGATGGGAAAAGTAAGATTCTACATTTAGGCAAGCAAAACCAAATGCACAGGTACAGTATAGCTGGTACCTGGTTCAATAGTAGTAACTGTGAGAGGATCTTGGAGTTGTAGTGGACACTTAAATATGAGCCAGCCGTGTGCTGCAACTGCCAAAAAAGCCAACACAGTCCTAGGCTAAATAAACAAAGGGATAGAATCAAGATCACGTGAAGTGTTAGTACCACTCTCTTATGCCTTGGTAAGGCCACACTTGGAATACTGCATCCAGTTTTGGCCGCCATGTTGTAAAACAGATGCGGAGACTCTAGAAAGAGAAGAGCAACAAAGAGGATTAGGGGACTGGAAGCCAAAACATATGAAGAAGAGTTGCTGGAACTGGGTATGTCTAGTTTAATGAAGAGAAGGACTAGGGGAGACATGATAGCAGTGTTTCAATATCTCAGGGGTTACCACAAAGAAGAGGAAGTCAAGCTATTCTCCAAAGCATCTGAGGGTAGAACAAGAAGCAATGGGTGGAAACTAATCAAGGAGAGAAACAACCTAGAACAGGGGTGTCAAACTCAGGGCCGGGGGGCCGGATCCAGGCTGTGGGGTGCTTACATCTGGCCCATGTGGTTGCCCTGGAAACACTGAAGGACCAGCCTGTGGTGCCTCGGCCTGGCCTTCCCAAGCTCCATTTTTGCTGGTAGTGTGCTGGAGCAGGTCGTCGCAACCAACAACGGAGCTTGGGAGGGCTTCCTGTGCCCCTCCCGAGCTCCCTTTTCTCTGGCAGAGTGCTTAGCCAAACAAACTACCAGCAAAAGTGGCATTTGATAACAAGGCAAGGAGGCATCAAAACATATTTCCCCTTTTGCATTTGAGCATCCAAGAAGGGACAGGAAAGGAGAAAGGGAAAGAGGAAAGACAAAGAAAAAGAAAGAAAGATGGGAAGAGAGCAAGGAAGGAAAAAGAAGGAAAGAGGGGAAGGAAGAAGAAAGAAAAGGGAAGGAAGGAAGGAAGGAAGGAAGGAAGGAAGGAAGGAAGGAAGGAAGGAAGGAAGGAAGGAAGGAAGGAAGGAAGGAAGGAAGATTATAATGAGAGGGAGGGTGTCAGGTTTTGATGTCATCTCAAATAAATTGCACTCCCAAACAATCTTTGCTGAAGTATTCCATTTATTGAGTATGACAGATCTGGCCCCGACTTCGTCGTAGCCGATACTAACCCTCTGACCCCCAAACCCTTCCCTTTCTGTTCCCCAATTCTCATCTTCTCATTGGCCATCTTCCAAGTCAGTCTCCCCAGCTTCTGACCTCATCCCAAAGGAATGTTCCCCCCTCCCATCCCATCTCCTAGGGGATATTATCTACAGAGAAAATAAGTAGGTGAAAAGTCAAGCCTCGTCTTTTTATGGCAGCATCAGAATGCTGACAGAGGGAGGGTCTGAGGGAAGTCCTGCCTTAGCACCACCAGCCCTGCTGCCCTTTCGCCATCCCCTTGTCTCCTCCTCCTGACCTCTCCTGGTGGTCTCCCATCCTATCACTGAGGATGCTTTGGTTACAAAGCCGGGTCTCCTCGCATGGAGAGGGAGTGGGCCTCCCTCCCACCCACACACTTTGCCCTCCCGCAAACACCATGAACAACCTGATTAAGGAGAGCAAGAAGCATCCTCGGGGAGGAGGTAAATGCAGCCAGCCACCCCCTCGAGGAAGCGGGGCTGGGCTGGGCTGTGGGGTCCTGGTGCCCTGGGAGCTCGAGGTCCGGGCTGGGCACTTGCCTTTGGATGCCAAGGGCTCTGGACAGCCTGCACCACCATCAGGGGGTCCTCCACGTGACCTGAGAGGGACGGCAAAGCTCCTCTGGAGGACAAGGGTTTGGCCCTCTCCTTGGTCTTGCCTTCCTCCACTAATGGATCCCCACCAGCTCTGCCTGGGCCACCACAGGTACCCCCGACATAATTGACATTGAGCTGACCATGCCCACACTAGCCCCCCCCAAGGTCAAACACAATCCTGATGTGGCCCTCAATGAAATCGAGTTTGACACCCCTGACCCAGAATTTACGGGACCGCCTTCTGCCACCGATAGCCTCCCATCAGCCAGTTCACTCCCACAGAGAGGGACTCCTCAGGGTGCCGTCAGCCGGGCAATGTCGGCTGGCGACCCCCAGGGGGAAGGCCTTCTCTGTGGGAGCACCTGCCCTCTGAAACGACCTGCCCCTGGAGATACGTAGGATACCAGATCTCCCTGCTTTTCGCCGTGCCCTCAAAACTTTTCTATTTCATCAAGCTGGGCTGGCATAAACCCCTCCCCCCCCTTAGATATTTTTAATTGTAAATGGATTAGTCGGGAGGTTTTAAATTTGGGGCCAAAATTTGTTTAATTCTTTTAAAATTTTAAATTTTGTATTGGGATGTTTTTTTATTCTAGGCTGTGCACCGCCCTGAGTCCAGCAGGAGAAGGGCAGTATAAAAATTTAATAAAATAAATAAAATAAATAAATAAATAAACTAAGGAGAAATTTCCTGATGGAACAATTAATCAGTGGAACAACTTGCCTCCAGAATGTTGTGAATGCTCCAACACTGGAAGTTTTCAAGAAGAGATTGGACCACCATTTGTCTGAAATGGTAGAGGGTTTCCTGCCTGAACAGGGGGTTGGACTAGAAGACCTCCAAGGTCCCTTCCAACTCTGTTATTCTGTTAATATGTAGATTGAAGACATGAGAGATCAATAATAAACAATAACTTTATTGTCGTTGTACATGTATACACAGTATTACCCATACAACAAAATTCACTTAACACTCAAAGACCAGGTCTAACACACGTAACAAAGATATGATATGAAACAGGGTTTTGCTTTCTGGTAGAATTATCTGATGTGACATTTTTTAAAAAAAATTGATTTATATGCCGCCCTTCTCCGGAGACTCAGGGCGGCTTACAAATGCATTAAGCAATAGCCTTCATACTTTTGTATATTTATACAAAGTCAGCTTATTGCCCCCACAGTCTGTGTCCTCAATTTACCTACCTTAGAAAGGATGGAAGGCTGAGTCAACCTTGAGCCTTGGCGAGATTCGAACCTGCAGTAATTTTTTTTTTTTTAATTTTGATTTATATGCCGCCCTTCTCCGGAGACTCAGGGCGGCTTACAGTGCATTCAGCAATAGCCTTCATACTTTTGTATATTTATACAAAGTCAGCTTATTGCCCCCACAAACTGGGTCCTCAATTTACCTACCTTAGAAAGGATGGAGCTGAGTCAACCTTGAGCCTTGGCGAGATTCGAACCTGCAGTAATTTTTTTTTTTTTTTAAATTTGATTTATATGCCGCCCTTCTCCGGAGACTCAGGGCGTTACAGTGCGTTAAGCAATAGCCTTCATTCTTTTGTATATTTATACAAAGTCAGCTTATTGCCCCCACAAACTGGGTCCTCAATTTACCTACCTTAGAAAGGATGGAAGGCTGAGTCAACCTTGAGCCTTGGCGAGATTCGAACCTGCAGTAATTTTTTTTTTTTTTTAAATTTGATTTATATGCCGCCCTTCTCCGGAGACTCAGGGCGGCTTACAGTGCGTTAAGCAATAGCCTTCATTCTTTTGTATATTTATACAAAGTCAGCTTATTGCCCCCACAAACTGGGTCCTCAATTTACCTACCTTAGAAAGGATGGAAGGCTGAGTCAACCTTGAGCCTTGGCGAGATTCGAACCTGCAGTAATTGCAGGCAGCTGAATGTTAATAACAAGCTATTAGCCAGCTGTGCCACCAGGCCCCTGGCTGGTTCAATACCAAGTCATTTAATACCAAGTCATTCACTGCAGGGGAGTTTGAGCCTTTGTCAGCCCAAGAAGGTAGACCAGAATAGGAAACCAATGTCAGGTATAATCTATCAATCTGAAAGTGCTTCCGCCTTCCTCCTCTTCTCTCCAGGTGAACTAGAGGGAGGACCTGTTTGACCCATTCTGAAGCACCATTTACCCGACTGCTGCCTTGGTTGTGGCCCTTCTTTCACCCCTTCAAGGCCACTCCCTCTTCCCTCTTCCGCCTTGGAAGCGAGGGGGGCTTCCTTCTAGAAGTGGAGACGCTGCCTGGAAGCCAGTTCAGGTTGAAAACTGCTTCCGTTGCTCAGCATCTCCACTTCAGGAAATTCAGCACCTGTCTAATCGGAACCATGTTTCTCCTTCTTTAGCTAGATTGTCGTGGATCACTGTGGGAATTGTGGCTGCCATAACTGTGGGAATTTGGATTCTCTATCGAAGCTGTAAGTGAAACACACCCACTGACACCCCCCTACCCTTGCCGTATTTCTGTATTGACTGAGATGATGTGGCCTCCCTAAGAGTTTCAGCCAGGACCTCCACAAGATCCTTCCCCACAAACAGCATTTTGAACAGAAATATGCAATAATTTATCCACCCATTTTCCCACTTTCTGTAAATCTCAAAAACGTTCTGCATTTATTTATTTTATTTATTTATTTATTTTATTTTATTTATATACCGCCCTTCTCCCGAAGGACTCAGGGCGGTGAACAGCCATAATAAAACAGTGTACAAAATAGAATTTAAAAGCAGATTAAAATAATTAAATCATAGGCCGAATTTAAAACTCTCATTTAAAACCAATTTTAAAACCCCATTAAAACCAAATTAAAATCATTTATCCCATCAGAGCGGCTTGCTGGAATAACAGGGTCTTCACTGCACGACAGAAGGCACGGAGGTTGGGGATCCTTCGTATGTCCAGGGGCAATTCATTCCAGAGGGAAGGGGTCCCCACAGAGAAGGCTCTCCCCCTGGGGGTCGCCAGTCTACATTGTTTGGCTGACGGCACCCTGAGGAGGCCCTCTCTGTGGGAGCGTACCGGTCGGTGGGAGGCAATCGGTGGCAGAATGCGGTCTTGTAGATAGCCAGGTCCTAACCAACACATTGAAGTGCACCCAGAAGACCACCGGGAGCCAGTGCAGCTCGCGCAAGAGGGTGTTACATGGGAGCGACAGGTCGCCCCCATTATTACTCGCGCGGCCGCATTCTGGACCAGTTGGAGCCTCCAACTGGTTCAATGGGAGGGAGCCTTTTGGCCTCAGTGGATTTACCTCAGAGGAACAAATATCAGAGGCTCCAGAATCAAAGAAAAGTCCCATTAATAATTTCTGAAGGGCCAGAAAAACCATAATCCTGCCCTGAAGAAGATCCTGGTGCCAGCTCACCTGGCAAGAGGGACCTTCAGGAAAGCTCTGATGGAGGTAAAGGGGGAGGGGGCCTCGTGTCCTCTTCCCCTGCTCACAATTACACCTGAGGATAGGGAGGCCTTGGTCCAGTGGTGGAAGGAGCCACTGCTTGCTTGGCTCCTACTCAGAAGAAGAGATATGAGAGGGGAAAAAGATAAGAAAGTGTCTAGAAATTGAGCTTCACCAAGTGCAGGTCTCAACACATCCATGTAATTTTCTCAGCAACAAGGCGGAAGTGCTTTGCCAATTCTCTTCTCTAGAATGAGCCTTTTGACTTGCTTGCAATTTGTCTTGCTTGCTTGCCAGTCTCAAATGGAACTAAGCCAGTCAGACCTTGCCAAGATCAGACAAGGTTGCTGGTAGTTAGATCTTGCTGGATTGGGATTGGGGGTTTGGAGTACAAAGCAAGACAAGAGTTGGATTAAGAGCTACCATGTCTGGAATATGTGGGGAACACCATCTGTCTTGTACCAATGACAGGATTCCCAGAGGTTTAGCATCATTGCTTAAAAGTAATTGATGGTTGCTCACCATCAATTACTTTTAAGCAATGATGGTCCTCTTGGGAACAGCCCTGCTGCTCAGCTTTGAATGGCTTCAGTGGTGGCGGAAAAACAGGACTCTGATGTCCCATATGAACTCTTAATAGGAACATGGAGAGTTTCAACTCGATTATTTCTTAACACCCTCAGGGATGTCCCTTCCAGTTCCCCATGTTCAGCACCTCTAGGCAGCCAACAATTTTGCCTTTCATCCATAAGAAGCAAACCAAGATGCTGGCTTAAAATCCAGACAGCTGTACCATCTGGATCCTTGGAGATCTTCAGCTTATATGCACCCCAGGCAGGAAGCGGCTGCCCCAGAAATAAAACTATCTTCTCTTTTTGCCCTATATCAGGCAACTGGCTGGGATGCAGGGAAATTTTGCATCAGGATGAGACAATTCGCTTTCATCGCCGTGATCTAGAAAATTCTCCCCTAATTTATTGCACAGAAGATGAGATCCAATCGCAGGCAGTGCTCCAGCCCAAAAGTACATCAGAGGTAAGCCTCGCTGTTTTCTGAAATGTATTTAATCAATAAAATTTGGAAATGCCTGAGTGCCAACACCTGCAGAATTGTTGGGGTGGGGGAATTCATCTACAAAGTCTTCCCACGGCAGCCAGGGAGGGACGGTGGGCTGTCTGGTGCTCCTGTGGGGCTCAGCCCCCCTGCTGGGGAACCTCTGATCAACTACTTTACAAAGGAAGATCTGTCAAAGCTCAGCTTCTTTGTCCCACCAGCTCCAAGGCAGGAGAATGCGACAGGAAAAGGGCTTGGAGGAGGAACAGGGGCACCCTGGGAAAATGGGGAATTTCTGTCCAGGAAGGACTGGAGGGGAGGGGGAGAAAGCAATGGTGGGCTGGAGACTGTCTAGGATAAAGGCTTCTTGGTGATGATGAGCTGGAGGTATAAGAGACAAGAGGAAGGAAACGCTGGAGGGAGAAGGGATGATTAGGGGCGTGCATAATTGCACCAGCATGCCTACCATCCCTGTCCAAATGTTTCCTTTTATTTGTACCCATTTTATGTATTCAGATAATGTTATACTTAGCTCTATTATCAAATACGTACTTGACAAAACAAACAAACAAACAAACGAATGAATGAACGAATGAATGAATGATCCCTTCCTAGGAGATCCCTCTCTCTTGGAGTGGGGGATGTGTTTGTGTTTTGGGGTAGTACATACTCCTCTTTGGCTCCTTCCTTCTCCACAGGGTTGCTGCGGGCAGAAGACAGAGCTAAGGGAAGGAGAGAAAACACCTCTGATGGCTTCCCCAGATGCCTATTCAGACAATGAGGAAGGGCCAGCTCCGGGGACTTTGCGGTGGGGCCTGGAGGAACGTCTGGAAGATGCCGAGGCCACCAAGCCAGGAATGGAAGGGCTGGAAGAAGAAGTGAGGCCAAGAACCTCAGAGGAACAAGTGGATGAACACCTGGCTGGAGAGGAAAGGGGAGAGATGCAGCTGGAAGGGCTCACAGACCCAGGCAGAAGCCCAGGATGGAGAAGGATTGTAGCTGCAGCTGATCAGCAGAGATGAGGAGAAACTGTCTCCTCCACCATAGGACCAGTGGTGGGTTGCCCCTGGTTCAGACCGGTTCGCAAGAACCGGTAGTAAAACCAGCAGGAGGCCCCGCCCACTGCCCCAGATGTCATCATTGGCGATCTGCGCATCTGCGTGTGCGCGAGCAAAGCAAGCGCGCACCCGCAATCCCATTGCAAACCAGTAGTGAAGGTCAGTAGAACCCACCCCTGCATAGGACTGAACGGTGGAAGGCGGAATGGAGGTCGGTGAGGCTACTTAGTCACAAGAAGCCTCTTTCCTCAGTCAGTGGGGGTTGCATAACAAGTCAGGACACAGAGTCATAGCTGATGGGTTGAAGAGGGTTGGCTACTGCCCGAGCCAATCAGAGCTGAGATTGGTTGCCTTGAGTGAAAAGGGGGAGTTTCCTAGTTTCCCGCCTTTTTGCCCCATGTGCCTGGCGTGCTCCCTGTCATTTACCTCATGATGTGGTTCCTGCCGCATTAATTTACCTGTTTGCTTGCCTCTCTTTTTTTTTACTGTAAATATATTTATTTATATAAAACCACAACTTTTTGTCAGCGTCTCTGACTCCATTTGGACACCGGCTGAGCTTGTCGATCAGAAAGGCCGGCAGTTTGGCGGTTCGAATCCCTAGTACAGGTCTCCTGCGGGAGGAGGGGGTTGGACTACATGACCTCCAAGGTCCCTTCCAACTCTGTTACTGTTAGACGTTAGACCCTGGCTTTATCCCACAAAAGATAGCAATGACAACACTAGGCATTGTCGTTACTGTTCTTTTTTTTATTTATTTTTTTCTTCTATTTTTCTAAAAATAAACTATAAAGCAGAACAACAAAACACCAATTACCAAAAAGACACAGGAAAAAAAAGGAATATACAACAAATATAATATTAATAATAAACATATAACTCTATGACCTCCCCCCCTAGTTGAATGCTGATTATCTGTACCTACAAATCTAATAGGTTCACTCCCTTTCATTACCAGTGTAAAAATAGTCATACATTATTAATCTATATTTAATTTACAATTTTACCCAATTCTCTTGATAAATATCTTAAATGTACAAGTGTTTTATCTATCGATCAATGGGAAAACTTTTTAATAAAAAAAAAATAGATGCAAGGCACAATGGTCCCATTGTGTTAAATAATAGCAATACATCAGTACATGAATAAAAATGGTCTATCAATACATATAAAGGTAGTCCTCAAATCCACTTAGAATTGATCCAGCCGACCACCTCCATCTCTGCGTGCCCCTCCGTCCATCCCCGCTTCACCATGACGGCCAAGGAAGGGGCAGCCTGGAGGTCCCCACACCAGTCCTGACCCAATGCTGGCCTCCTGCCCATCCCTGGCCTTAGGAGCTGGGCACAGAGCCAAGGGACATGCGTCAGCTTTGTAAGCAAAGACCCAGCTTTGTAAGCAAAGCATCCTCAGTGATAGGATGGGAGACCACCAGGAGAGGGCAAGGGGATGGTGAGAGGGCAACAGGGCTGCTGGTGGCCTACTGCTAAGACAGGCCTTCCCTTAGACACTCCCTACCTCTCATTCCCATCTCTTTCTTTCCTTCCTTCCTTCCTTCCTTCCTTCCTTCCTTCCTTCCTTCCTTCCTTCCTTCCTTCTTTCCTTTCTTCCTTGGCCAGGAAGGGATGAACTGAGGGTGAGAGGATGGCAAGGCTATGATCCAAGACAGGAGATCACCAGGCGAGGCCGGGAGGAGCGGGAAGGGGAGGATGAGAGACGGAGAAGGGGAGGCACTGCCAGTAGCCTTGGCTCTCTCACGTGGTGGCAGGAGATAGGACGCGGGTCGTCTAGCTAAAAGGGAAGCACTCGTTGGCTGCGGACTGCATCTGGCCCACAGGCCTTGAGTTTGACATGTCTGATGTAAAGGATTTTACAATGTCTGGCTATTGGATTGCTTACCCCACAATAAAACATAAGGTCCCACATAACACACACACCTCTTTTCACTCCTCGCCCAAATTGTGGGCAAGGCAAATTGCCTTGAAAAGATTAAAAACCAGGCTATTATTTGACCTAAAGTGCCCTTGTCCTACCTCGCCAGGCAATCAGCTCAAATCTTAACACTGATACTAATGGTGGGTCCATCAAAATGAATCCACCAGTCATGTTTAGTTTAAATGTTCTCCAGATGGCCAGATCTTGGGTATCAAAATGGGGTCCCAGAGATGGTTCCATGTATGAGCCGAGATGGCGCAGTGGTTAGAACTGCTGACTGCTAGCTGCAGTTCGGCAGTTCAAATCTCACCCGCTCAAGGTTGACTCAGCCTTCCATCCTTCCGAGGTCGGTAAATTGAGGACCCAGATTGTTGGGGGACAATAGGCTGACTCTGTAAACCGCTTAGAGAGGGCTATAAAAGCACTATATGAAGCGGTATATAAGTCCAAGTGCTATTGCTATGGAAAGGAGGCCTTGAAGGAGGCCTCTTCTAAATCCACGAGAGCTGTCCACGTCGCTGCTTCACCCGTTCTTTGGTTTCCTCTGAAAACAGGATCTTAACCTTTAAAGGGGTTTGCAGTCTACAACAGCTGCCTGTTTAGGGGGAAAAATCACCTCTGCAGTAGCCATTCACAAGAACAGGAGGCCCCCATCTCCATCCCTGCATCTCTCTAAATGAACTTCCAGGGCCCTTGTAGAACGAGGGACTTGGCTCCATTCCTTTGTAGACTTTTTCCAGGGTTAGGGGTGACATCATTAATGTCTCTGCTCAACTGGGTCTAGCTGGGATCTCCCCAACCAGACACACAAGACTCCTGCAGGGAGAAACAGAACAGGTTGGGGTCACAGTCAAGGAAAATCACATGGTATGGGATATGCTCCTCTCCTCCCAAGGAGCGGTTGCCAGGTGCTTAACACGGTGGGGTGTTAAGTGGGGTCCTGAGTGCTCTTAGGCAGCAGTTTTCTTGCAGACATTTCATTACCAAACTAGGTAACACCATCAGTGCCAGAAGGGAGTCGGATTTGCTCTTATTTTTTATATGGTTTCCTCTGTCAGTGTTGGTGGGAATGTTCTTGGGAGATTCCTTGATTAAGCTGTGTGCGCTGTTAGCTTTTTTTGTCTGCATTGGTAATTGCTTGATTGTGATATTGTTTACTTGACTGTTGGTCTAATGTTAATCTTGGTGTTCATTTCTGCAGGTGTTGATTGCTGGATAGCAAGTCTTTTGTTTCCTTTTGGTCTTTTTAATTGTCTTTTTTGAATGGCATGTAGATATTGTTTATCTCTGTGTGCCTGTTGATGGCCAATTCCTCTGAGTGCCAGGGCTCCAGGAATTCTCTGGCATTTTTTGAGGGAGGAGGGATGACACAGTGATTTCTGGATCACTCCATGTCCTCTGTGGTCCATAGGATGCCTTGTGCTTCAAAGAGAAAAAAAATGGAGAAAGTCAACACCCCCATTTGCATGGGGGGGGGGGTTTCTTCTTTCCCCCCCCCAGCCCCCCCCGCCCCCCCCCCCCACTGGAACCTCCACAGGCAGGAGGGGAAGCAGCCAAAGAGGAAGGAAGGACTGCAACCCTCCTATGCACAAAGAGCTGTTGGTGAGGGAATCCTCACTTCTCCCCCAGGGTTCCTTATGCCTCCAGTTCATCATGGCCAAGGAGCTTTTTTTCCTGCATAGCCCAGCTGTTCTTTTCCTTCTCCCCCTGCCCTCTAATCCTTCCTGGAAAAAAATCCCCCATTTCTCCAGGGTGTCCCAACTCCTGCTCATGGCTCCTTCCCCATCTCTCTCTCTCTCTCTTTCCTCCCTTGGAGCTGATGGGCAAAGAGAGGCTGAGCTGAACTGCATCTTCCACTTCAGAGCAGCCCATCAGAGGAGCCCCAGGAATCCCATAACCACATGCAACAACTTTGGAACAATTGAATTCGCCACCCCAACAACCCTAATGGTCTTGGTTCTCAGGTATATCCCAAGGCCAGAGTTTTGTTTCTTAAAATTCAGACTCACCTCTGATGTTGTTTTAGGTTGGGGCAACCTCTGTGATTGCATCTCATCTTCTGTACAGTCTATCGAGGGAGAAAGATTGATCTGTGGAAGATCCGCAGGTTGCCACTCCCTGGTACAGATTGCTCCTGCGTTTCTTCCACTGGCCTGACAGATGGCAAAAGAGGAAGACGGCTAGTTTATTTTGGGGGAAGAAGCTCCTGCCTGAGTTGGAGAAGGATTTATTCTGAACGCCTCCCTAAGAACCTTCACTGAATCACCACAATTATTTTGGAACAATGATGCTAAACTACTGGCAATATTGTTTCTGGTAAAAGACAGATGGGGTTCCCCATGTACTCTGGACTCAGAAGTCCTTAATTCAACTGTCACGACATCTGTGACCCAATCTTAACCTAGCCAGATCTAAGAACCATCAACTTTTCTGGAAGGCTAAGCTGGGTCTGGCTGGGTTAGAGAATAGGAAATAGAATAGTGAGTAGAGTAGAATAGAGTGGAGTGGAGTGGAGAGTAGGGTAGGGTAGGGTAGAGTAGAGTAGAGTAGAGTAGAGTAGAGTAGAGTAGAGTAGAGTAGAGTAGAGTGGAGTGGAGTGGAGTGGAGTGGAGTGGAGTGGAGAGTGGAGAGTATGGTAGGGTAGAGTAGAGTAGAGTAGAGTAGAGTGGAGTGGAGTGGAGTGGAGTGGAGAGTGGAGAGTATGGTAGGGTAGAGTAGAGTAGAGTAGAGTAGAGTAGAGTAGAGTAGAGTAGAATAGAATAGAATAGAATAGAATAGAATAGAATAGAATAGAATAGAATAGAATAGAATAGAACAGAATAGAATTTTTATTGGCCAAGCGTGATCAAACCTTCCATCAGAGCTTCCTTTTGTCAGGTGACTTGGCAAATAGATCTTTTTTCAAGGACAGGATTGTGGAATTCCTAGCACTTCCCAAATCATTTAAAGGACTTTTCCTGGGCTCCAGAGCTGCTGATATTTGCTCCTCTGAAGAGAGTCTGCTAAGGCCAAAGAGGTTTTCTCCCACACAACAGGGAGACATTGAGATTTGCAGGAAGTGCAACAATGGCTCCATAGCTTCTTCTCCCTTTCTCACCCGTGTTCAAAATGCTGCCTGTAGGGAAGGATCTCGTAGGGATTCTGGCTGCAACTCTCAGAGAAGCTCTGTCCCACCCACAGCAGCTCAGTCAACACAGAAGGACATGGGGTTGGGTCAGTGGATGACTTTGTTTCACTTACATGCCAGGAAGAGAAACAAAAGACTCAACATCATGATAGGCACAATTCCCACAGCGGCCACAATTCCCAAAACAATCCGCCCTACGCCTCCTAAAAAAAAGGAGAAACATGGTTTCTATTAGACAGGTGCTGAGTTCCCTGAAGTGGAGATGCTGATCAAGGGAAGCCTTTCCCAACCTGCTCTGGCCTCCAGGAAGTGCCCCCACCTGGAGGAAGCCCCTCCCCTCCAAAGGTGCGAAGGGCCCAGGGGCTTCAGCCCAGGCAAAGATCAGGTGAAGCAAATGCATCAAACTGATCCCCCCCCAGTTCACCTGAAGATAAATGGAGGGAGAAGGAAGCAGGTGCGGATTGCAATCGTTCGAATATTATAGTTTTGCAAAAAAGGAATAGCTCTGAAGTAGCTGACAAAAGCCCAGCCTCCCCTGCTGAAAGGGGCACTGAAGGACCGGAGGCAACTTGTCCCATCAGATAATTCTGCCAGAAAGCAAAACAGAGTTTCCTATCTCTCAATCTCTTCCATCTCCGTATCGTATCATATTTTCCTACCTCTGTTCTCAAGTGTCCACTTCCAACTCCCCTCTCAATCATCTCTTCTTTACCATCACGAAACACAACCCTAAATTCCCTCCTTTCCCTCTGGAAAGTTTAGATGACACAGCCCAAAACTATCCAACATTGATGAACAGCCTACTTCTACATTTTTTAAAATTTACTTTATTTATTTAATAAATATATATGCTGCCCATCTCACCAAGACCTAAGATGTCACAGCTGCTCAATCTCTCACCTGTTTCCTCCTTCCAAGCCAACACCAAGGACTCCTAAATTCCCTCCTTTCCCTCTGGAAAGTTTAGATGACAGCATCCAACACTGATGAACAACCTACTGCTACATTGATGTTTATTTACTTTATTTATTGAATAAATTTATATGACACCCGTCTGACTAAGAGGTGACATTTTGTAACTTCTCAGTCTCTCACCTGTTTCCTCTTTGAAAGACAACACCAGGGGCTCCTGCAAGCCCTCGTGCTCCAGGTGACACCGAAAATGGTTCCTCTCCTTGGGGTCGATCTCAATGCTGAGCTGGACATAATAGGTCCCGTCTGAGTTGGGGACCACGTTCCTATGGAGGGTCCCATATTTGCAGGCCTCTCCATCCCTGGTCCAGATGGTCTGGATCTCCTTGGGGTAGAAGCCAAAGGCCTGGCAGATGAGGACCTCCAGGCTGTCATCCACTATCTTGTAATTCACCTTCCCCACTGGAGGCTCTGCAGAAACAGCAAAATCTGAGTTCCCGGGATTTAATAGTAGGGGAGTCCTCATTTGGTCGTCCTCTCCCACTGCTCCCTCTCCTCTCCTGAATCTCTGGGATCCTCAAAGATGGAGGTCTTGAACTCATTAGCTTTATTTTTGAAAGGGACACATAGACTTTGGGGTACATTTCTCACTCTGACCAAAATAATTGTACTGCTTGGTGGTTGATTTAGTTTTCATATCCCACATTGAATTTGTTCAAGTTGTTCCATATGGAAATTCAGAAGAAAATCACCTTTTGGTTCAGCCCCAAACACAGGATGTGAGAATTAGACTTTCTCCTGCTTTGCAAGATTTCCTCACGGAAATGGATCTCAGCCTCCATCTCTTGCTTAATTAGTTAGTTTTTTTCTCTTTGAAAAAATTATTTTAGGTGGCATTGAAGTTGAAAATTGCACAACAAGGGCCCATTTGGTCACTCACCTGTCTTCTTCAGAGACTTCTTCTGGTAGGACAGGTATTTCTGCATCATCTTAATGCACATCTCCTCCAGGTAGACTTTATTCCTCTGGGACTTCCTTGTATCATCCTCCCACATCTCCTTGACCTTCTGGGCCTGGGGCTGAGCTGCCACCCATCTCAGGGTCTCCTTGTCGAAGCTGATGAAGTCCATCCCATTGTAGCCATAGTGCAAAAACCCTCCTTTGCTCCCGTCTTCCCTGAGCTCACAGCCCAAAATCGCCTGCCAGGTGTGAAGCCCTGAAAGAGACCCAGATGGTGAGGGAATAGTCCAAATTTCCTCTCCCCTAAACACTCTACAAGCTGCCATTCAAGTGTTTTCTTTCCCCCATCCCACCAGATGAAGCTGAAGCTCAAATATTTTGGCCACCAGAGCAGAAGAGAGGACTCCCTGGGAAAGACCTGATTGTCAGCGTTCCAGAAAAACCCCAACTCCGAGTAAAGAGGCAGATGCAAGCATTTTCCAAAGTTCTCTTTACTAGAATAGGCACATCTGGGAAAACCCGAACCTGAAAAGCCTGGATTTTCCCTCAGTAAGTCAAAACCCCCAAAACCATCCCCTTTCTCCCCAGTCGATCACATGCTCCAATCAACATCCGTTCCATCTCGACCCAGTCCCCTGACCGCTCCTTCTCCAGATGCTGGATCGCTCTGACCTTGACCGACAGGAAGAATGCTATTATATCTATGGACAACCCCTCTCCTAAATCCCCCCTCCTACTTTCCCACACATGAGAAGGTGGCAGCATTGAAGCGTCCGGCCTAATATGGCTTCCAAAGCTGACACTGATATTGGGAAAGGAGAAGGGGACAGCAGAGGATGAGATGGTTAGACAGGCTCATTGACACAGTGTGGTCCATGAAGTTGTGAAAAGTTGGACACGATTTAGCAAGTGAACAGCAACCCACCAAGAGAGGGAAAATGGATCCCCTCTTTCTTTCAATGGAGGGGGGGGGATCTTTGCTGTGATCAGTGACTGCACTGATTTTGGGCTGGGGCCAGATCATGAAGACCATGAGAGAGATCTTGGAGGTGGGAAGGATCCTTTCTTTCCTTTACAGGAAAGGATCTCTCACCGTTAAGCCCTTTGCAGCCCTTGGTGGTCAAATGAGATTTTCCTTTCCAAGTCATGTCACCCATCCAAGCCTCCAGGCACCCACTTTCTATTCTTTGCCTGCTTTGGAGGGTCTCAAGTCATCCAGGTCAGGGTTGCCCCAAAACTGCTTTTTCTGAAACTTTGGGACCTTTGGAAAAAGCACCTTTGGGATTTTGCCTGCTTCCCTCTTCTGATAATTACGGTGACAAGAGGCACAAAGGGAGATTAGAGGGAGAATTTGGGGCTTGAAGGCAAATCTGCCTCTGCTTACCTGCAGTCTGGTGGCTGAGATTGGATAGCCACTCCAGGTCAGCCCTGAACACCCTTTCAAGGACCACCAGGTTCTTCGTCTCCTCTGCTTCCAACCAGGGCACCAGAAGCTCCATCCCGCTGGTGTGGTTGTCATATCGAGCGATCGGTTGATCGTCCAGGTGGATCACAGAGAGGAACTGGGGCAGCCCCCGGCTGGATTCTGACACCTTCAGGTAGGAATAGCACAGGGAGTGCCTGGGGGGAGCCTGGAAGAGGAAGAGAGTGAAGGACAGGATTGAGGGGGGGGTGTCTGCAGCTCCAGCTCCTCCCTTGATGCTATCACGAAAAGCAACTCTCAAAGAGAAGACCAACTTCGGAGGTTTCCAGCCATGAGATTAACCCTGAAAGAAGTTCTCAAGCAACTCTTGGCTGATCTTGGAAACAGCTGGGCACATCTGGTGAAGGGGGACCCCTGGGTTGATACAGCTGCTTGTGGACCTGACTGCCATCTGACCCTACATGCCCACTGCCCGGAGGACCAGCAGGACAAAAGCTGCTAGGAGCTTCACAGCAGAGTATGGAGACTTCTGTCACCAGGACTTCTGTCTGCACCACACCCAGAGAGACACGTCATCCTGAGTGTTTCTCTTCAAGAGGCTCAGCCTGGAGGTGGGGATAGGGAGGAGGAGGAGGAGGAGGAGGAGTCGACCTTATTTGTAAACACTCTCTCGTAACTTTCACTCCTTGCTTAGAAATTTACTTTTTTTTATTTTTTATTTTATTTTTTATTATTAAAATAACATTACAAACAACATATACAATACTTCACCCTGTGCTATACATAAGAAAGGAAGATTTGGTTCTTTGGATATATCCTCATGATCGCCAAAATCCACGTTCTCGGGGTACAGGTCCCGAAGCATCCAATTTTCCCAGCGCATAGTCCACGAATGGTTTCCAAATTTTCCAGAAAATATCTTCTTTATAGTCACCATTTCTAATTTTAATATCGCATGTCATTTTATCGTTTAAAGCTAATTTCCACATTTCGCAAATACCATTCTTCTATTCTAAAATTCACATCTAATTTCCAATATCCGGCTATTATAATTCTACCCGTTATAATCGTAATTCTAATCAATTCTTTCTCGCATTTTGTTGGTTCTCTTTCCTTAATTATCAACAGTAATATAGTTTCTGGCCTCAATATTATTGCTTTCCCCATCATTTCAAATATCATTTCCTCCAAGTAAAGACATTAACTTGGAATTGACAAATCAAAAACCAAATGTTATTGTCCCAAAGGAGCCACGAATTATCCAAACCTTCCTTGTTATTGTGCTTGTGTGTGTCCCCCGTTCCTAAATTGGTAACAGGAAATTAAAACAAAAAACGAGGAAGGGAATTTAACCATCTCTGAATCTGAACCTTGGCCGTTCTTTGTTTACTTCCTTCTTCAGATACAAAGAGGAATTACAATTAGAATACCAAAAGTTCTTGAACGAGGCTGAGCGAAGGACGAGGGAAGGGGGACGTTTCCTGCGGGGAAGGGAACTTGCCACGGAGGGTGAAATGTGGGGGAGAGACCCAGGCAGGACCCCCGCTTTTAGCTGCCTCCCACCCGGTCGCAACCCCTTCCAGAAACTCACCGCAGCGGCTCCCCGGCACGAAGGACCCCAGCCCAGCCCACAGGAGCAAGAGGGGCGCCCGGGACAGGGGCATCGCCCTCCGACCACGCGCCCCTCCGCACCTGCGACCGAAGACACCGGTTGGCTCCCAGAGACTCAAAGCGCCGCCAACTGGTGCCAGGAAGAGCAGCAAACTCCGCCTCTACCTCGGCCGAGCAAGAAAAGCAATAGGGGTTTATGGTACTTTTTCCCCCGGGGCTTTGCAAACAAAAGGCCCCAGAGGTGGATTTCAGCAGGTTCTGACCACTTCCCGACCAGCTGATCGGGAGGAAATGGTTGTTTTGCACAGTGGCATGTGGGTGTGGCTTGGTGTGTGTGGGGGGGAAATGTGTCTGGGTAGGCGTGGCCAATTTTTTTTTAAAAAAAATTTACTTTTAAAACCATTTGGTTATTAAAAAAAATGCTTTCAAAAGGCTCTGAGGATCCCAGTTGAGCCATGCCATCATCGATGTTAATAATAATAATAATAATAATAATAATAATAATAATAATAATAATAATAATAATAATGACTGTGGAAAAAGAAATTGTGTGTTGTCCCGATTGTAATTGGAGCCCTCGGAGCAATACCCAAAGGGCTACCCCGCTATTTAGAAATCCTAAATTTGCCGGACTTGAACATTTTGACTCTACAAAAAACCACCTTACTCGGAACAGCTTACATCCTCCGACGATACCTTAACAGTTCCTAGGTCCTTGGTTAGGACTCGAGCTGCTGAGCTATTAACCAGCCTCAAAGGCTGTGAATCTCACTAAAGATTAACCAATAAATAATAATAATAATAATAAATAATAAATAATAATGATTAATAATAATAATAAATAATAATAATAATAAACAGCAAATGCCGTCTCTGCAATGAAAAAGAAGACCTCCGTGAAACAGCTGATCTGCACCTGCTTTACCTTAGGAGCCTGAACAGCCTCTACTAAACAGCTGCTTGCAGCTGCAATGTCTTAAGCTCCTGGCATGCCCCAGACTCTGCCTGCTCCGCTTGCTGCTGATTCTTGGCCAGTGGCTGCCAAGAGACTGCCTGTGCTGCTGCTGGCCTCACTGGGGCTCTTTGCTGTCCTGGCAGTGCTGATCTTAGCCACGCCCTGCTGGGATGCTCCTGCCTAGTGTGGAGGAAGTCCTCCTGGATCTATGGCCTCCGGAGGGCCCCCCTGCTGCCATTGGAGCCATGCCACCCACGCTGCCTTGCAAAGCCAGCACGAGAACTGCAGCACTCACCAGGGCCAGGTTCCGAAGAGCGCTGGGCCCGGCGCCTGCAGCACCGAGTAGACCTGCAGGAAGGCTTTCAGAAGCCCAAAGACAGTGGCGGGTAAGGCGGCATGGCTCCACCCATGGCCACTGGCAAAGGGACCCTGGCAGGCACATGGAGGGCTGCTCTGGGGGTCATACATTTGGCCCGACTCCCACACTGGGAGCAGCACTACCAGGAAGGTGAAGAGCTCCTGTGAGGCCAGCAGCACAGGCAGTCGCCAGGGCCTGATTTAGATGAAAAGAGGCCCTAGGCTATTCCACTTATGAGGCCCTTTCACCTATAGTGAAAGTGTAATTTTAATTTTGCTAACGATTTGAATGTAGGCCTCTCTTGATCTTGAGGCCCTAGGCTGAAGCCTAGTTAGCCTATAGGAAAATCCGGCCCTGCCAGTCGCTTATGCCAGTTGCTGCCAACAAGTGGTGAGCGTATCAAAAGCGAAAACTGGGACTCGGCTCTTTCCCGGAATGTGCTTGCAGTGGCTGCTGGACACGGAGCGGGGGGCCCCATTCTTTTGCCTCCACCTGCTGCTGGTACTGTCCCAGGTTGTTTTGGAAGGGAGATAAAAATAAATCCTGCAGTCACTACTGCAGTGGAAACCTGAGCAAAAAAACAGCAGCTGTGCCTTCTCCCTGCCAAAACACACTGGAATATGATCTAAATAAGGCTTGCCCTGCTGTTGATATACCTCCAGGCTTTTTCCTGAAGGGAAAAAGCCTTTTGCCACCTTTCGCTGTGCAAGGAGCAGCAGGCAAGTCCTGCTTTTCATTTTTGAAGCGCTTGCCGCTCGCTCGCAGCAACTTGGACCGCTGCGGACGGCATTGGCAGCAGGTGAAGGCTTGCTTCCCCCCCCCCTATTCTTTTCTCCTCTGCCCAGCCTACCCTTCCATCCAACAGCTAAGAATGACGGTCTCACCTGCGTCTCCACAAGGCCTCTCAGGAGACACGGCATGTAAATGAAAAGAAAGTGCCATGAGTCCAGGCACCTTTTCTGTTTGTTCTCCCTCCTCGGGAACTGTGCAGGGGGAGGGGAAGGCAGTCAAGGGGATATTGGCAAGACACTCTCATGGAAAGGATGAAATGGCTCCGCTGCCAGAGCCCAGAATTTTAAGGCAGAAAAGTGAAAGGGGGGGGATTTCAAAGGCCCTGAAGAAAAAGAGCAAAGATCTTCTGTTCACCATCCGAAGTAGGTGCCGAGGCCAATCCTGCGGAAAGCAATCTGCTTCTCCATGCAAAACCTAATGGACTTTGCAGAACCATCGTGGAAGGGGAGCCTGTCTTTGGGGTGCAAAGGAGGAAGGGGCAATCTCCCCCTCCCTCCTCCATCTCACTGCAGGGCCACCACCACGGAGCTCATGCAGGACAGTGTGATTATTGGTGAAGGGGGCCCTGGCAGGCCGGTGGCAGGAGAGGTGCTCCAGATATCCAGCCGCAGCTCACCTGATCCGAGGGCTGCAATTAAGGGGCTGAGCCTCCATGAGGTGACCGGGAAAGGGAAGGGCTGCCTCCTGAGCTTGGCATACCTACCTCCTTCACTAGGGCTTATTTTTGGGGTAAGCCTTATATTAGGCCCACCCCAAAAAAAATCAGGCTAGGCCTTACTTTCGGGGTAGGTTGCAGTTTTGGGGAAACAGAGTAGGTAACATCTTCCATGGAGGAAATGCTCTGTATCATTTCCCCCCTGATCAGCAGCTCTTGATAGCCAGCAATTTTGCCCTTTTATCAATTATAAACAGATGGAGACACACATATATCTTTCTTATGATGCTGCATTATAGTCCAGGCAGTTGTACCATCTGGGTCCTTCAGGTTCTTTAGCTTAAATCCATCCCAGGCAGGAGCTGCTGCCCCATAAATAAATGAGCCGTCTTCTCTTTCTGCCATTTATCAGGCTGGTGGTGGAGATGCTGGAAAAAACTCCATCAGGAGAAAAAAACTTACCCTGGTGACGTCCCTCCAGAAATGGATCCTTCTCCTTCAAGTACAGAAGATGAGTTTCTACCCAAGCGATACTCCAACAGGTGAGCCTGACTATTGCTGAAGTCTATTTATGAGACAAAACTCCAGCTTCATAAATAACTGGAAGCTGAGACCATCTGGCTTGTTGGAGTGCGGAATGCACTCTCTTAAATCAGGGCCCCCCAATCCCCCGCCCCCCAGACTACAGCTCACTCCCGAGATGTGATCTGTTTGGAATTGGGCCGCATGAGCAATGGGCAAGTGCACACCCGTGAAACTTTCCTAACATTTTATTTTACTGGCCCTATCTTTCCCTCCAGCCATGAGTGCCATCTTTGCCAAACTGTATTATAATCGGTATCTTCCTTCTGTTGAAGCTCTTTAGTGAGTCTATCCATTTCTGCACATTCGGTTATTTTTGCAATTATTTTTGCTTCTGTTGGTAGTAATTCGGATTTCCATGGGCAGAATGGCCGTCTGCTCAAGTGGCTTCTGCTCACACAAGCAGAGCTTCTCACGCAAGCAATGTGCCTGCCACTCGCATGAGCGGAGCTTTTTACGCGAGCTCAAGCACTATCCACTCACACAAATGGATCTGTGTGCATGTGTGCTTGCCACTCACACGCCCCTCCCTCCCACGCCGAGCCGCCAAGGTGGAAATGTTGGGGATCATTGCTCTGGTGGTGGTCTTCCTGAGGTTCCTTTGGGGCTCAACCCCTCCTGTCTGGGTCCCTCTTATCAGCTGCTCTGCAAGAAGATCCAACCCAGCTCAGCCTCTCCAGCCCACACATGCTAAAAAGATCAGTAAAATACCATGTTTCCCTGAAAATAAGTCCTGGTTTTATTTTCTTTTTGACCCCCAAAAGACCATGTCTTATTTTGGGGGGATGTCTTCCCTGCTTACCTTAGGACCACCACAGCCACACCTCCCATGCCCCCAACACCAGGGGTGGGTTCTACTTACCTTTACTACTGGTTCGCAGCGGGGCTGCGCGCTCTTCTGCACATGCGCAGAAGCGTTTTGATCACACCGGGGTCAGTGGGCGGGGCCCTCTGCTGGTTTTACTACCAGTTCTATAGAACTGGTGCGAACCGGGGATAACCCACCACTGCCCAACACCTGTCGCACCGCTGCCCGACTCCTTAATTCTAAAAAAGAAGGGAAGATAGGGGGCTCAAAAAGGTTAATTAAAACTCTTTCAGCAATGATTATGTGGGGTATTTTCCCAGAGGAAGAAAGATGTAAAAATTAATCCTTTGTCATCGTCCCCACCCATCCCTGCTAACTGCAGCCCAGAGATTGGAACTTCCATCTTTTGCCTTTAAATAATAATAATGAATTTCAGCATCCTTTTGGACTGAATACACACAGGATGTTGTGGAAGGAAGTGGGTCTTTTCACAGGAGCTGGAACTAAAATGAATATTCCCCAAACGTACTTGTTTTGTTGGAATTTTTTCCCCCTAAACAGGCGGCTGTTGTAGACTGCAAAACCCATCAAAAGGTAAAGATCCTGTTTTCAGAGGAAACCGAAGAACGGATCAAGCAACAACATGGATAGCTCTAATGGACTCAGAAGAGGCTTCCTTCAAGCAGTTGTGTTGGTTTCCATACATGCAACCATCGCTGGAAGTCCATTTTAATATCCAAAATCTGGATAGCTGGAGAACATTTAAACTAAACTGTCTGGTGGATTCATTTTGATAGATCCTGCTTTTTAGACTGCTTTTTAATCTTTTCAAGGCAATTTGCTTCGGCCACAACTTGGGCGAGGAGTGAAAAAAAGGTCTGTGTGTATATGGAATCTTATATTTTATTGTGGGGTAGGCAGTCCAATAGCCAGACATTGCAAGATCCATTACATCAAGGACCTGTATACAGGTCAAAAAGAGAGCTGAGAAAATCTCTACCTATCCCTCATATCCTGGACATGAACTGTTTCAACTCCTCCCCTCAGGATTTATTTATTTATTTATTTATTTGTTTGTTTGTTTGTTTGTGTGTTTGTTTAGTTAGTCAAGCATGTATTAGATAACAGATATAAGTATAAACATGATTATTAATACATGAAATGGGTAAGAATAAAAGGAGACATTAGGACAGGGGTGGTAGGCACATTGGTGCTCTTATGCACGCCCCTTACAGACCGCTTAGGAGTGGGATGAGATCAACAGTAGACAGTCTAAGGTTAAAGTTTTGGGAGTTTGGGGCAGTGATGGGTTGCCCCTAGTTTGGACCGGTTCTATAGAACCGATAATAAAACCGGTGGGAGGCTCCGCCCACTGACCTGGATGTCATCATAAGTGGTCTGCACAAAAGCGAGCATGGGCAGACGGGCACGATACAAATCGGTAGTAAAGGTAAGTAGAACCCACCCCTGGTTTGGGGAAGAAACCAGAGTTAGGTAGTGAATTCCAAGCATTGACTACTCTGTTGCTGAAGTCGTATTTCCTGCAATCAAGTTTGGTGTGGTTTCATGTATTGTTTTGGTTTTATGGTTTTATGGTTTTATTTGATTTGTATACCGCCCTACTCCCGAAGGACTCAGGGCGGTGAACAGCCAACAATAAAATACATAAATACACAAAATTTAAAAACCCGATAAAATCAAATTAAACTTTTTGGCCCAGACAAATTAAAATACCCCAATAATTTAAAAACAGATTGAAATTTACATATTTTAAAAAGGGAAGAGATCAGGCCAAGCCCGCTTGATGGAATAAAAAGGTCTTCCCAGCACGGCGGAAGGAACGCAGATCCGGGATCCTCCATATCTCCGGGGGGAGCTCATTCCAGATGGTAGGTGCCCCCACAGAGAAGGCTCTCCCCCTAGGGGCTGCCAGTCGACACTGTTTGGCTGACGGCACCCTGAGGAGTCCCTCTCTATGAGAGCGTACTGGCCGGTGGGAGGCTATTGGTGGTAGTAAATGTATTGTGGTTGAAGCTGAAGTACTTATTGACAGATAGGACATTGCAATGGATAATTTTATGTACTATGCTTAGGTCAGACCGAAGGCGGCGTAGTTCTAAGTTGTCTAAGCCCAACATTTCAAGTCTGGTGACATAAGGTATTCTATTGCGAGCCGAGGAGTGGAGGAATCCTCTCATGAAATATCTCTGGACTCTCTCAATTGTATTAATGTCTGATATGCAGTGCGGGTTCCAGACAGATGAGCTGCATTTGAGAATTGGTCTAGCAAATGTTTTGTATGCTTTAATTAGCAGTACAATATTACCAGAAAAGAAGCTACACAAGATTAGATTAACAACTCTTAATGCCTTTTTGGCAATTTTGTTGCAGTGAACTCTGGCACTTAGATCATTAGAGATTGTTAGGATGTTGCTATAGCAGAGGTGGGTTGCTACCAGTTCTCCCCGGTTCTTGCGAACCGGTAGTGGAAATTTTGAGTAGTTCAGAGAACCAATAAATACCACCTCTGCCTGGCCCCGCCCCCAATCTATTTGCTGCCTCCTGACTCCCAGCTGATCAGCTAGAAGGAAAAAATCAGGGCTCGCTTCTCAGCCAGGAGATCACTTGGCAAAGAAGAAGGAAAAAAAAAAGATGCCATCACTTTAAATTGACAAGCCAAGAAGCAGCTGCTGGAAGGAGGTTTTTGCTTGCAGAAGCGAAGTGACATTCAGCAGTTCATTTCTGGGTCAGCTGAACAACAAACTGGATAAGAGGAGGTTCTTATATGGTTCTATGTTTTTGAAGTTTTGGGGTTTGTGCAATATGGGCTTTGTGTTTCTAAAAAGATTTGGGCAATTTCCATTGTGAAATATCCTGCCTTGAATGAGTTTTCTGCCTGCTTGTAAATGGAGCCAAACTTCTGGCTTCCACTTTCTATTAACTCTAAGCACTGGTAGCTGTTTTCTTCTTACAAAGTTTCCTTTATGCAGCTGGCAGGAATATGGAATGAAAAGCATCTGTGGTATGTAATTTCAGTTAGGGAAATCAATCAGCTCCATCAGTTCTCCTTCCCACCTGCTCATGGCAACTTGAAACCTCTGCAAGTTGACACCAAGTACTAAATAAACATCTGTGCCAATACAAGGGGGAGGGCTTTCTTCACAGCTTTACAAGTTTTGGTTTGGGGAAGTTATAGAAAAAATAGATACATTATTTTTTTGTAGTTAAATTGTATAATGTTTTTATTTAAACAGGAAAATGAAGTTGGGGGGGAGCACCATGTCTACTTTTGTTAAAGTATAGGTACTTTACTTTCGACCCTAACTGAGCCCAAAATTTATATTGCTAAGCGAGGCAGTTGTTAAGTGAATTCTGCCCTATTTTATGGCCTTTTTTGCCACAATTGTTAAGTGAATCTCTGCAATTGTTAAGCTAGTAACGTGGTTGTTAAGTGAATATGGCTTCCCCATTGATTTTGCTTGTCAGAAGGTCAATAGAGGTTGATCATATGACTGTGGGACTTTTATAGATCATTACAGCCACAAGGGCATTTATTATTAGTATGCCTTTTGAGCATAGCAAGTATTTATTAAAAGTAGCAGCTTTGTTAAGATATGATGCTTGTCTATAGTATTTTCTTGAACTGGAGGTGATCCAAGAGACGTTCTCCAGACTGTAGCCTTGTTCTATAATGTTTTCTGGAGAGAGTTACTTTGCTGCTTGCCGTCTCTCTTACCGGTACATAAATTCTAGATTCTCTGCTAGAGAATGCTGGCCCATTCATATGTGTTACCTGACCATCTTCCAAGCACAAAATTATGCTGGCTAGTGCTTTTTCATTTAGTTTTTGCTGTTCCTCATTGAAATCTATTGGAAGATTGCTTACAATTGTCCACAAATCCTCCCTCCACAGAAACATTTCCCTCTTTAGGCTCCACGAGAGATAATTTGTCTCATTAAGACCAGCTAAAGGAAATCCACCTCCCATTCCTGGAACAGATAGCATTGTGCTGTCTTTACAGGCCAATCGTCCTCAACCTCTGTCAGGTTCATGAAGAAACTTTTACCTCATAGAAATTTACCTCAGGTTCACGAAGAAACATTTACATCAGAGAAATTTACCTAAGGTTCATGAAGAAACATTTACCTCATAGAAATTTACCTCAGGTTCATGAAGAAACATTTACCTCATAGAAATTTACCTCAGGTTCATGAAGAAACATTTACCTCATAGAAATTTACCTCAGGTTCATGAAGAAACATTTACCTCATAGAAATTTACCTCAGGTTCATGAAGAAACTTTTACCTCAGAGAAATTTACCTAAGGTTCATGAAGAAACTTTTACCTCATAGAAATTTACCTCAGGTTCATAAAGAAACATTTACCTCAGAGAAATTTACCTAAGGTTCATGAAGAAACTTTTACCTCAGAGAAATTTACCTCGGGTTCATGAAGAAACTTTTACCTCAGAGAAATTTACTACTGTCACTCCAGGGCACTTCTGGGCCCATAACCTGTCAAGGAATTGGGCAGCAGGTGTCCAAGTGGAGTCAGAGATGCTGTAGTTTTACATAAATAAATATGTTTTACATCAATATTTACAGCAAACAAGATAGTCTGGCTAGCAGGAGCATCATGAGGTAAAATGACAGAGCATACAGGGCACACAGAAGAAAAAGGTGGGGGGAAAGGGAAACTCCCCCTCCACACATACAGCAACCAATCACAGTGCAGATTGCCTTGTGTAGGAGACAGCACTCTCCAATCAATCCACTATGTCTGTGGGTTTCTGGCTCACTGCACAACCCCACTGCTCCAGCTACTAAGTTTAAATACCTTAACATTATGTTAGTATCATGGTTGTTAAGTGAATCTGGCTTCCACATACCGAGTTTGATCATATGACTATGGGACATTGCTTTTACACATCATTACAGTCACAAGGACATTTAGTACTATGAGTATGATGGACTGTCTGCTAACATAAAGCCAGGTCATGGCACACTTGAAAGTAAATGGAGAAGCCTGTAATTGTTGAGTCTCTCTGGCAAGAACAAAGAATGTTTATCCACAGGTAATATGCATGTGTAAAGCTTGTAACAATTCTGGGTAGTTAGAAAGCTGATAAAAGTAACAAGAGCTAGGCAACTTTATTTATTTATTTATTTATTTATTTATTTATTTATTTATTTATTTATTTATTTATTTATTTGTCAAATACGTATAAGATAACAGATACAAGTATAAACATGATTATGAACCCCAGAGAATGAAGAAAATTATCGTGGATTATATCCATCCAGATCAAAATGGATTTATTCCAAATAGGCAAATAAATAAGAACACAAGAACAATAATCAATATCCTGGAATACTATGAGCAAAAATCAGATGAAAAAATGGCCGTACTTTTTCTCGACGCACAGAAGGCGTTCGATAATCTTAATTGGGGATTCTTAATATTACAATTAGAAAAGATGGGAACCGGCGATAAATTTCTAAATATGATCAAAACAATATACTCCGACCAAACCGCAAAGATATGGATAAATGGAGAGACAACAGACCAATTTAAAATATCCAAGGGGGTGAGACAAGGATGTCCCCTCTCTCCTATACTATATATATTAGCATTGGAACCACTGTTAAATGAAATTAGGAATGACAATGAAATAAAAGGATTAAGAACAAAAACCCAGGAGTATAAACTACAAGCATTCGCGGATGATGTAGTATTTATTTTAGAAAGACCAAAACAATCAGGATTGAATTTACTAAGGAAGATAGAACAATATGGTGAGGTCGCTGGATTGAAAATTAATAGACAAAAAACAAAACTACTAACCAAAAATTTGACAAAAACCCAGGAGAAAGAATTGGAAGAGACGCTAGGAATACAAACAACAACAAAAATAAAATACCTAGGAATTTGGCTTACCAATAAGGTATCATCCCTTAAAGAAGACAATTATAATAAATTGGCCAAACAAATCCAAAAGGACTTAGAGGCATGGAGTAAATTGAGATTATCGCTATTAGGCAAAATTGCTTCAATCAAAATGACAATCTTACCAAAATTATTATACCTATTTAGAACAATACCGATAAATCCAGGGAAATCATATTTCAAAGACCTTGATAAAATGACTTTAAAATATATATGGCAAGGGAAAAGAGCCAGGATTAAACTGAAGCACCTACAGGACACTAGAGAAAAGGGTGGTCTGGGACTCCCAGATTGGCAAACCTACTACACTGCAACAGCTTTAACTTGGATCAAAGATTGGATAACACTTGAAGATAAACGAACATTAGCATTAGAAGGATTTGACCTGTCGAAAGGCTGGCACGCATTCTTATGGGAGGAAAAACCAAGGCAACATGAACACTTCAGGAGACACTATATCAGAGGAGCATTGGCAAAAATTTGGACCGAAATAAGGAGAAAACACTACGATAAAATCCCAAGATGGTTATCAACTATGGAGGCCCAAATTTATCCGAACACAATGTGTTGCAATATTTTTAGGATCAGACTCAATAATAATAATGAGAGTTAGAGGTTCAAATATATTTCTCTTTAATTATAGTAGGCATTCTATATTCACTGAATATTCACAGATAGAAGCAAGGAAAATGGTGAAGGTGGCTCCTTATATATACAAAGGGTGGAGCCAAGAGTAGGAGTGGTGAATTATGAATACATTAAGAAACAAAGAATAAGTTAACCCCTGATATCCCATATATACATTATTTACACATTAGGGAATAAGGCATTTACATCTGACAAATCCCCCTCTAAATGCCGGTTCGCTATACAACACCAATTACATTCAGATTCAGGACAATATAAGACATACAATTTGGAAGTTAAGTATTTGTGCTGTTTAGAAGGTAAAGGCTTCGTCAATATGTCAGCTAATTGTTCAGAGGTATCACAATGCACTGCTTTGATAAATCCATCTTGGGACAATTGTCTCACATGCTTAAATTTTATATCTATATGCCTGGATCTTTGTCCAATGGCATCGGATCTAGATATTTCAATGGCCGCTTTATTGTCTTCATGCATAACAAAAGGCAAAGCAGGTTTTTTCCAAACATCTGAAATTAAATCATTAAACCATACAAGGTTATTTGCAGCTTTGGATAAACAAACATATTCCGCTTCTGTGGTTGAAGTGGCTACCAGTTCTTGTTTACCAGTGTACCAGTAAACTGGACAGTCATTTAACAGAAAAATATAACCAGAAGTACTTTTTCTGCATGATGTATCTCCAGCCCAATCTGCATCTGCGTAACATGTAAGTCTTGGTTCTTTATTATCACTAGGCTCTAATACTAGACAAAAGTCTAATGTACTTTTCAGATATCTTAAAATTCTTTTGACAGCTTCCCAGTGATACATTGTTGGTTTACTAACGTGCCTTGATAATAAATTGAGTGGTAATGCAATATCTGGCCTGGTCCAATTAGATATATAAAGAAGTGAACCTATGACTGATCTATAAAATGTATTATCCTTGAATTCAGGGGAAGATTCATCAGTATTTCTAAGGAAATCAGTTTGCATAGGAGTGTCACAGGGTTTGGCATTGTTTAAATTGCATTTGTTTAGAAGTTCAATAATCTTATCTTTCTGAGTAAGTTTGAAACCCCTTCTAGTTTTGTTAATTTGTACACCAAGGTATTTGTTTACTTTACCTAGAGATTTCAACGAGAAATGTTCATTTAACTTGTTTACAAAGATTTCTCTTCTCTCTCTGTGTTTTCCTATATATAAAATATCATCTACATAAATCAATACAAACTCAACGTGATCATCACTCTTTTTGACAAAGAAACAGTTATCAGCAGTGGTAGCGTTGAAATCCATGGTTTTAAGTACTTTTACCAAGCAATCGTACCATCTTTTGCCAGATTGCTTTAATCCGTATAAACTCTTGTTCAATAGCCAAATTTCATTTTTATTAGTGTATTGACTGTGAGGTGCTCTTACGTATATTTCCTTATCTAGTTTTGCGTGTAGGTACGCAGTCTGTATGTCATATTGAAATACATCAAGATTGAGTGTGGATGCTACTACTAGAGCTGTTTTAACACTCTCTGTTCTTACTGTGGGGGAGTATGTGTCAGTATAGTCCTCCGGATATTTTTGTGCATAACCTTGTGCAACCAATCTAGCTTTGTATAAGGTATTGCCTCCTTCTAGATTCTTAATTTTATAAATCCATCTGGTACCAATAATTGTTTTATCTTTGGGTGCAATCGCAGGTGTGAATACATTTAATCCTTGCAAACTCTCCATCTCTTTTTTCATAGCTAGTTCCCATTTTTCTTTTTCTTCACGAGGTAGTTTTAATACTTCCTCATATGTATTAGGTGTTATTTGTTCACCATCCATATGCATTATGTAATCTTTGTATTTATTTGGTATTTGATTTCTGTTGTTCCTAATAGCTCTTTCTGGTTTGCTATGGTAGTCATGCAAATATCTTGCTTCCTTTTTTGTTAATGTGTCTGTTTTTATTTTGTGTTGACTATTTGTCCATGTTTTGGTTTTGCTTTTACTTTTGTTAATATTTTGATTTTCTATCGTCCCTTCCTCACGAGA